AGCTATGATCTAGAACAGGAATGATCAACCTTTTTAGTTTAGGGTATGTTTTTGAGCACTTTTCCAAAATGACTTCTAGAAATACAGTGGGGCAAAAAAGTATTTAGTCAGCCACCAATTGTGCAAGTTCTCCCACTTAAAAAAGACCTCTTGCTTGTTTGTAGGTGACCAAATATTTATTTTCCACCATGATTTGCAAATAAATTCTTTAAAAATCAGACAATGTGATTTTCTGGATTTTTCCCCCCATTTTGTCTCTCATAGTTGAGGTATACCTATGATGAAAATTACAGGCCTCTCTCATCTTTTTAAGTGGGAGAACTTGCACAATTGGTGGCTGACTAAATACTTTTTTGCCCCACTGTAAGCTTGATTAACAAGGAGCACATTAACAATATTAGGGGAATGCAAAACATTTTCATTTTGAAAAGTTTTAAGAGCAGCGTTTTAGACAGCCCCAAAACATCACTGCTCTAGAGGAGATCTGCATGGAGGAATGGGCCAAAATACCAGCAACAGTGTGTGAAAACCTTGTGAAGACTTACAGAAAACGTTTGACCTCTGTCATTGCCAACAAAGGATATATAACAAAGTATTGAGATGAACTTTTGATATTGACCAAATACTGACAGCCCCAAAACATCACTGCTCTAGAGGAGATCTGCATGGAGGAATGGGCCAAAATACCAGCAACAGTGTGTGAAAACCTTGTGAAGACTTACAGAAAACGTTTGACCTCTGTCATTGCCAACAAAGGATATATAACAAAGTATTGAGATGAACTTTTGATATTGACCAAATACTGACAGCCCCAAAACATCACTGCTCTAGAGGAGATCTGCATGGAGGAATGGGCCAAAATACCAGCAACAGTGTGTGAAAACCTTGTGAAGACTTACAGAAAACGTTTGACCTCTGTCATTGCCAACAAAGGATATATAACAAAGTATTGAGATGAACTTTTGATATTGACCAAATACTGACAGCCCCAAAACATCACTGCTCTAGAGGAGATCTGCATGGAGGAATGGGCCAAAATACCAGCAACAGTGTGTGAAAACCTTGTGAAGACTTACAGAAAACGTTTGACCTCTGTCATTGCCAACAAAGGATATATAACAAAGTATTGAGATGAACTTTTGATATTGACCAAATACTCATTTCAAGGTCCTGGAGTGGCCTAGCCAGTCTCCAGATCTCAACCCCATGGAAAACCTTTGGAGGGAGTTGAAAGCTTTTTAAGTGGGAGAACTTGCACAATTGGTGGCTGACTAAATACTTTTTTGCCCCACTGTAAGCTTGATTAACAAGGAGCACATTAACAATATTAGGGGAATGCAAAACATTTTCATTTTGAAAAGTTTTAAGAGCAGCGTTTTAAGAAAGTCCTGGCTTAAGTGCTTAATTGCTGATTTTAATATAACATGGGATGCTTTGGGTGTTTTTTGTTTGAGCTCATAGCAGACAAGTTCCAAGCTTGGAATATTCTTTTGAGCTTGAGACTTGCTCAAAATGCTTGAAACAGGATGTTTGTCACTTGAGACAAGACATTTTGTGAAATTTGGGGGCAGGAGTGCACACTTCTCAACCAACAGCAGCAGCATCTCATCATTTATTTCTAAGTACTGTAAAGCTTCACACTTACCATCTAACATGGTGAGTAGATAGCAAGTCACAGAGAGTCCCCCAGTAGGACTTGTGTAGCTCACAGAGTGGACAGAAGGACGAATGTTCAGATCCTTTCAGAGAAGTGTTTTGTTGGTTTAGAGTCTTCAGGGGCAAAGTGCTTTAAATACCCTATGTTTCCCCCAGATTGGGGTATATTGTTTTGTAATTGTCCAAACTGAAAAAAGTTGGGCCAGAAAAGTTTGTCACAACTCACTCTGCTGATGTCATTATCATGCCCTCTATGCCCACAGGTAGGGCATAAGAACAAAGTATGGCCTTCTAGCTGAACAAGGTTAGCTGTGCTTGATCTAAAACAACATGTTACATAGGAAAGAAAGGAGTGATGGAGGACAAGGAAAATATGAATACCCGTGATCCTTAATCTCCCCTTCTGCTGGCTGTTCCACGCTCATGGAATTGACTTCTTAGGGAAACTGACGGTGGCCCTGCTTACTTTCTTTCAATAGCGGGAAGCCACACTAGAGGGCTGGTAGGAATGCGTTATAGAACTTTAAGAGAGGCTCCCAGTACAGAACTGCAGCCTAATCAGGTTAAGTTATGCTAAGCTAAACTGTCTTTGGAGATACACACAAACAACAGTGTCTTCTCTTGCCCTTCCTCAGGTGTTTGCACTGAATGCTTCATTAACTTTTGGCATGCCCTTGCTCATGTTACTTAGCTGAGTTATTTGCCGCCTTTGGATAGCTCATCATGAATCCTGAACTAAGTATTATTTATAAAAGTGCTTATATTGAATTATATATCAGCAGCAGCAGCAACCAAATCTGCAATAGTCATCCATTTATATAAAACGGGTTAAAGTTACCTGCTTTGTTTTGCTCTCCTTTTTTATAAATATGGTTTATAAAAATAAGCATTGTTTCATTCAGCCTGTGTTGACCGCTGGTGTTTAAACAATTCAAGGGGCCTTTGTGTGGGGTGGCGCCTAAATTCAAGACAAGTGTGTGGGTGACGTTGACCACAGAAGTTGCTCATGGGGGAAGAGAAATGCACACACATATATACACCTACATAAATACACACGCACGCACACACACACAAGTATACAAGACTGGATGAATACAAGTTAAATACTTCCACTGAAAAATAGATCCAAAAATTAGTGAAATGCTGGAACTAAACGCAATTATTCCAGAAAGCGTGGGAGGGAAAACTAATTTCATCTGTGCGTAGCCATTTATTTTTTGTAATACCCTATTCAGGCAACTAATTAACTTACCTTATTATTAACATTTCTAAGTTTCTTTTTTGACATATTTGACAACATATTTTTGGAAAAGCAGAGTAAAGAATATAGTGACTATTAAATTATTGTTTTTCTGGCTGTATTCAGGGACGCATCATTGCTACGTTAAATACATTCTTGCATAGCAATTTAAAATACGGCGTATATAAATGACACAAGATTGGCAAAAGGTATGGAACTGCTTCCTTTTCGTTTGAAACATTGATACTTTAGCATTTTTGTTTCTCTTTGTAGTAATATTCGTTGTTTCAAGATCGACCAGCCTTCTGCCGGAGATGCATCTGGAGCCCCAGCGGTGTGGAGCCACGGTTACACTGAGGCATCTGGAGTTAAGAATAAGTAAGCCATTCAAATCACTTGCAAGGCTGTTTAGCTTGACTTTCCCCTGATCAGTATACTCACATGCATGGGAGGGGGCACTTCTGCTGGATCTAGCTTAACCATGACGTTGGATATGCTACTGAACAGCAAGATCTGGAGGAATGGTAAATGTAGCGCTCAGCAGTCTTTTCAGGCAGCAGGCACCATTGTAAAAACTCAGGGGTGCAGAATAAACAAGTATGCTTATTAAAATAAAAAATATTTTTAATTAAAAATTTGTTTAATCTTACATTCTCACAAGGGGTGTGTGTGTGTGTATAAATGGGAAGGTCAGTGGGAGCCATCTGGTGGTGTCCTAAAGGCTATGCTGCCATCCCCTCTCTTCTCTCCATGTAAAAGCACTCTCCCAAGCCTAGAGCTGTAGTTTTACGGCAGGCCATACAAAATTTTTCAGAATGAAATAGTGCGCTGGGCAAGGCCAAGTCAAAAAGTGATAAATGAATAAAGTAAAAAATGTATTTGACATACATTCAGTTAAGCTTAATATTGACATGAATATAATGGCTTTCCGTGTATTCATTTTTTTCCTGCTGTCATATAAAAAATATACAATTCTGCAGCCCCTGTTGGGGGGGGCGGCTAGAGTATTGGCTTGTACATTCCTGTTAGAGGGAGGACCAGTTAAGCTGCTTTGAAGTCACTTACAACTTGGCACAGCTACCGTTCCTCACATTCTTTGCTAGGGAGCTATTTTTAACCCAGCTGTGGCAAAACTGAGAAATTCCAGGCCTACCGACACCAGTGTCTCTTCTTCAAGAGTGCCCCTTTTCCTTTCTAAAAGCTGCATGGATTATTTATTCTTATCTATTATGTTTCCTACCCTATGCAATGTTTCTGGCAGCTTTAACAGATATGGCTTCCCCAGCACTGCCCTATAGTCAAATAAGTCACATCAAGCACTTTGGGGGTTTTGTTTTTTGCTACTGATCCAAATTAAAATATGGCAAGCCTTTGAGGATATGTTGGTTTTGAAATGTACAGTGAATGACTGAAATGGGCTAGGGGGGCTTACTGTCCCTCTCTGTACGTTAAAGGGACTGGAGAAAGAGGATTCCCTCTCTAACTACAGAGTGGTGAATCCTTGCATGTGCCTGTCTTAACATAGATAAGGAGAGTGCGTTGGGCAGGGATATGGTAGTTTTGAGTAGGTGCTGTGAAATTTCACTCAACGTTTGATTTACAAAAGTTAAATCTTTTGGAACTCAACAATTCTGCTGTATTCTGAAAATGAGGAATGGCTTCTTATGAGTTCCAGTTCACTACAGTTACTGCTGTAAAACCCTCAGATGCAAATTATACATAATTTCTATTTATAATGCTCCATTTGGGGACTGGTTCCCAGTGTTACATTTGTACTGCTTTGGTATAGCATGGAAATCCTCTTAAAAATCCACTGCAGAAAAGGCTTGTTTCCATTTGGGTTCTCTCCTATCTGAATCTCCCAGAGTTGATGCAGCCAATTATAGTGGTACCTCGGGTCATGAACTTAATTCGTTCCGCAACTCTAGTTGCGACCCGAATTGGTTGCGACCCGAATCAAATTTTCCCATAAGGTTCAATGTAAATAC